TTTTATTTGATTTTTTTTGTTTATATTAGGGCTGTCAAACAATTAATTTTTTTAAGTGTTCGAGTTAGAGCAGCTAAAAAAGTAATTAATCGTATTTACTCGCATTTTGAACTATCTGCAAAATATGGCAATTTTTTTCCGTAAACGGTTGTTTGCATGGAAAGATAAATGACAGCACAGTGTAAATATGTACTGTATTTGTTTATTTAACATTAAATCCACATAAAAGAGCAATAACATTATTAACATTCTGACTTTCTGTAGTAGAAAGTATTTTTTCTAAATTGTATTAAAAGTTGTATTAAAACCCGTCATTTAATTGAAAGATTGAGCTAATTGATTCAGCTCGGGTATGAATTCAGGCCATAAAAAGTGCTGAGTAGAAACTGAATACACAGCAAAACAGCCCAAAATATACAAAAGTGATGAAGAGAAGAGGGAACTACAGCAAAAGAAGAAATATAGCTAGCTTACATTGTATCCTCCTGCGAGGCAGTCCCGCACCCGCAGGTCTTGTTGTTATCAGTTATTGTACTGTATATTTTGTTACCAGTGCGTTACTTTTGTACCATTTCATCAGTGATTGCTGTAGAGCTTACAAGAAGTTGAACTAATGCCTACCTGCTCTGTCGCCATCTTACCATGGATCTATAGGCATCTTACACGCATGTGTCCGGAACTTCTGAGTGTTATTATGGGATGCATGGGCGGATCATTCAGAGTCAAATGCGTTAAGAAAAAAAATAATTAAGGTGGGTTAACGCAATAATATTGACAGCCCTAGTTTATATATTTTTGCATATTTGACCAGTGGCTGTATGGTCACCATGGTGCCTATACTGTCCATCACAGTGGTCTCGAAGATGCTTAAGGATCAATTGTTGGAGGGTTTTCTCTGGTGAAGGACCCTGGCAAGAGTAAAGGCGCTGCATACTGCCACTGCTCACAACCAAATAAATAAAGATATATAAGAACTTTTTTCACATAAAAAGTTGCATAATGCCCATTTAAAGCACATGGCTTTTGTTAATTACCTTCAGAACTTCACTCATGACATTGACATGATTTAGAGTATATTTCTTAAACTCATATACATTTTTCATATGGTTTTTAAAAATACTTGATTACAGGAAACAAACAAGATAACTGAAGTTTTAAAACAGATGACACTGGATTCCTTGTGTACTTCATTTGCCACAATGATTTCCAGTTACACTTTTCTGTAGCACTTTGTGTAAACCGGCTCATCCTCATCCATAAAAACTTTATTGAACCCTATAAAACAGGCCTGAAAATGCCCTCTCTGAAATATAAAGGGCCGCTCTTATTCGTCTATTCCTTCACTGGTCAGAAGCCAAGAAGCAGTTCTCTGCTTTTGGAAACAGAAGTCGCCCTGTGCTCTCCCCTTTAGCAGCGGTACAAGAGCACACAGACTAAGAGAAGGTTTAATTAAAACATCATTCAACATCGTTATTATTTATTGCATGTTCTGCTAAACAAGGCGAGTTGAGAGAGTTTGTCACATTAATATTCAGAGCAGTTCAAAGACAGGAAGAAGACTTTATTCATGTGTGTAGTGAGTTCAGAGCAGCACCGTCTGCCTCTGTCGTCAAAGTTTGAAGAAATCGTGAAGCAGAGGCACAAAACGTTCAAAGATATGGGTTTTATAAGAGACACGGGTGCCAGAAGTGCATGAATTTTACTTATTTTAATAAACCAATAGAGACAATAACAAAGCTGAAATAAAATAGTTGATTATTATCATATTATCATTATAAACTATATAGGAGCAGATATGAAACAAATAATTTACAAGAAAGAGGATTTACATGATGAGTATAGAGTCCAGCACAGAAATAACCAAAGAACTGCAAACCACTAAGCCACTGTACTTAGTGGTTAGCAATTTGTTCTTCTCTCAGCAAGAAGCTCCTGAGTTTGATTCCACCTCCACACAGGGTGTGCAATCTGGCCTTCACAAGATGAACAAACGTAAGGCATAATATTCAAGGCCTTTAAGGTCACGCCGACTTCAGTCATGTCTCTGTTTGGACTCACACCTGAGGATTGGTTTGTTGTGACTCATTTGTTCATATAAAATGCTTGATCTGTTGTCATTCTGTCTGAAAAACGGAAACATCTGGAAACTGAAAAAAGGCCCACATGTATCTCTGCTTAAGATCCCTTTTTTCTGTACTGTACTTTGCGTGTTTTAAGTGGAACTCTATTGGTTAATTTAAGGTCAATAAAATATGAAAATCTAAACCAACTGCAGTTGGTTATAGTGCTGTTCCGCACATCATTGGTTCCCCTTAGTACTGTGAGCTCTCACTGTAGACAGTTCAAAGAGGCAACGTCAACAAATGTCATAATCCACTGTCAGTGAGACAGCCAAAGAACTAAATTACACTTTTTTCACAGAACCAAGCATCTCCTGGATACTCGTGGATGATGTAAAAAAAAAAAAAAAAGGTTACACTTCTTGTAGATAAGCTAGATTTCATCTTTCATCATTCATTTATTACTGGCCTACATAAAGACACACACTGACAATGCCTACCAGCCATTCAGGCCAATTAACCTGCAGTTTCTCAGATGGGCATCTACTTTTACTCAGCTCAAAGCTCACGGTCCGCAGGTCTAACAGACTCTTTCACTTTGTGCTAAAACACTATTGAATATCAAAGTGATATTGGCTTGTTACCAGTGCGTTACTTTTGTACCATTTCATCAGTGATTGCTGTAGAGCAGTGTCTCCCAAAGTGGGGTCCGCGGCCCCCTGGTGGGCCGCGAGGGTACTGCAGGGGGGCCGCGGGAGGTCATAAAAAAAATATGACCAAGGCCAAGGTCATCAAAGTGACCTTGGCTGCTGCAAGGAAAAGCAATTAGTTTGAGAGTCTGATAATTGATGGCTATTCAAAGTAGACACACACACCAGTTGTTGTTATTTGTGCAGTTGAGCCTATGACCATATTATTAGTATTTAATTATAATCACAGTGACCTGAAGGCTATCATATGTAACAGACTCAAGGAAACATGGAGAAAGTAGGGCTACACAGACCACATGGGTGAGGTGTGATTATTTTAACAATTCTGCCCAGTGAATCTAGTTGTAAGACATGAATGGGAATAAGTTTACAAACAAAGAGCTCTGTTGAAGTTAGGAGATCTCCCTCTGACAGACGCTGGTGTGGGCGCTTGGCTCTGCTGTTATCTAAGACATGCAGTTAATACATTTGTGGCATAGCACATCCACCCACAGCATCCCCCACGGGGGCTGAGGCTGACAGAGAGCTCTCACTCCATATTGTAACATTCATGCATCAACAACATTGTTTTAATTAACTGAGAAAGTTTAGGTTATTCAATCGGGGAAAGCATTGTATTTCTATGACAACTCAAATACCAAAGTAATTTATGTGACCTCATTCTGGCTGCTAAATCTATACTAGAATATGACATTCGATGCAATTAGTGTCCTGAGAAAATTATGGGTAATTCAAGTGCAACTACACCACTTTATCTGTCATGGGGAGAGTAAATGCAGCCCTCACAAGCAATGCTCTTATTCTCAACAAAAGATGAAGTCATGGTGCAAAGTTATAACCCGGTCTGAATAATTGTCTGAATAATTGCAGACACAAGAAAATTGACTCCTGCTCGCGTATATGTTCAATTTGGCTTCTTTTGCATCACGCAAACATTATGGACTCGCGCCTGCACTTTCTTTCTCAGAGATTGTTATTCAATTCAACCGTGATAATGATTTTCAGATCAGTCTATTTGTGGCACCTTTGCTCATTCGAGAGGGTGGGTACCATATGTCTTCAGCCATCTACCATAATCCAGCCTGTCATGGGTAGACCAGTTTAAAGGATAGAAGAGTCGACCATGACTTTTATTGGAACGGTGTCTAATCCAGCTGTCACTCAATGCCAGACAAACCATTATAGAGCCGCGTCGTCTGTGCTTGTCCAGACGTTTTCCTTTGGTCCACATTCACCCTCAAGGTTGGACAGTCTCTCTTTTCAATCATTCTTCCACAGCCACCACCGCCACACCACCTGCATCCTCTCCCCTGTGCTCTTATGATTTAATAGCCGCTGCTTCTGTCCTTTCACAATCCCCTCTTTCTTTTTCCTTGATGAGGTCAGAGAACAGCCGACAAACAGCCACTGTGGGTCATTCAGATGTCTTTACCAATTTCACGACTATTCTTCCTTAACTCCACTCCCATAATACTTCAGGGTCAAGTAAGCAATTAAAGGGGCCAATAGTCTGAATGGAGCATGCTGGAGAAAAGAGAAAGCTTTTTCCAATTACGCTTCAAAGGAAAACCTAACCTCTAATTGTTTTACCCAGACAAATGCGATGAAGTGTAACAAACAGTATTAACCCTTGAAACATTATTTGGAAATGGGCCTAATAATGGACAACACTTTTAAATAAATAGAAGCAGCATTGAAATGGGATGCGAGTGGGGCATCAAATCAATTATTAAGCTTGTGTTTAACTTCCATGGTGCGCACTGTTGGCATCACCATTAAATACATCTTCCTAATGGGTTTAGCTGAAGCAGGTCTGCCATACGTCAGCCGTGCATTATGGAGTCAGGGCACATGTTGCTCCTGCAAACAAGACCATTATTTAGAGCTATAACCTTGACACATGTAAAGAAGCTAGCTCGGCCTGGCTTAACGTTGTACCTAAAGCTGAAGATAAGAGCTGGAGAAGGATGAAGGCTGTACAGTCATGAATAGTATTACTCCTATAAAGATTAATAGCTTTAGATTTAATTCAGATGTTTGTAAGATTCAAGGTACCATCTATGGTCATTTATTCACTGGGTTTTATTGAGTTATGATGATTGGCATGTGGGCTGATATAATTGGCAATTATTCCTATAACAAATTTGTGTGGGCGGGGCAATAGGTGGCATGATTGACATGCTCCATTGGTTTTCTAAGACACCTTTATTGATAGATTTTGTGGGCTTACCGTATGTTGTGGGACTTGCGTTTGATCTCATTCCAGCACAGGTTCATGTCTCCTGATGGATGAGGACCTCCTCCTCTCAGTCTCCTGGTCTCTGCGGCCTCCTCCTGGCCCTCACCGTCCACTGTGGACTGACAAGGCACACAGCGGCATCCTGGCCACGAGGGCCGCCCCGCAGCTGCAAGAAAAAAACAAACAGTTTTTTATTTTAATAAATGTCCCGTTTTTAACTATTATATTAGTTAATACATTGATTCATCCATTCATTTATTTATTCATTCATGTATGTATCTATTTTATTTATTTATCTGACAGGGACATTGCAGTGAAACATTGTTACAAAACAAAGCTGGCAGCTGAGGTGATGCATTTTAGCTGCTAAGCAAAAACTCCTGTCCCTGGTTTTGCTTTTCTACACAAATATTAAAAACTATACGCAGTCAATACAACACTAAAAAAGGTACAATACACTGTGATCCATTATTACTGTGAACATCTTTGTTTAGGAAACTCTGAAATGTCATAATATACAAACAACGGCTGCTGACAAAACACAAAGAGAAAAGTAAATTAAAGAGCTGTCGAATACAACCTTATCAGCAGCAAAAACTGTGCCACTTTCTCATGATAATCAGCAGTACAAATACCAGTCTTGTACATCACCATCTTTAATAAAGTAAAGAAAAGTACAAAGCAGACTGCTGTGTCAGCCAAACAACACAATCAGTCAATAAATCATGAGCACAAGAAGTAAATAATGAAAAAGGCATCATGTTTGTGAGATCCAGAAGCTCAAATCTGACACAAGCTACACGCTTTACATTATTATTCTGTATCATTCAATCAAAGCAAAGTGAGAACAGAAGGTGAGTGAGAACAGAACAAAATATTGGCTAAACTGAACCTGAAAGGAAAATAGATGAATATATGAAGAAAAGCACACGCAAAGGCACCTGCACAGATGGTTTGGGGGCGGAGCATTTCCAGGTCTGGTCTAAATCTGGTCAGTAGTCCTGTCAAACGCTGCTATCTTCTGATTCCACTTCACCGCACAAAACAATGACCCAGTTTAGATCATTCTACGTTTTCTGTGCTGCAAACTTGGCACATTTTTATTTCTTTTGCACCAACAGGTCTGAATGAAATCTAAAGAATTACATGTGTTGTGTGAAAGCGTGTTAATCAAGGTATGATTTATGAGGATAAATAAAGTTGTTTGATGAGATGAGTGATAAAAAGCCAAATGTTAAGACCATAGCTAAGAAAGAGGTGCAGGACAATTGGGAAAACTGTCTCTCATGCAAAATGTTGTGTCCATGGGCAAGAAACTTCTGCCCCACATAGTAGATAGGTATGAATGATGGATGAAGGACAAAATTGCAGATACTAACAGAGAAACTCCTGCCTCCTTTCAAATTGTATTGTCCAAAGATTACCAAGATAAAAAAAATAGAAAAATGTAACTGTTGCCGTAAGATTTTGAGAAAGGACATTATAACCATGAAACGTCCTTGAAACAATCAGATGAAAACTTTCAACACAACATCAGAGTGAAAACTACATGAAGGAAACAATTAGACTTTCTAGCGCATCCCATGTCTTATCTCCGTGTTCATTTATTTCCTGCATGTTCGTTTCACTGCCTTCCTCCTCCTCCTCCTCCTCCTCCTCCTCCTCCTCTCTTCATGCCTGTTCCCCTGTGAATCAGCATCTCTGCCTTGGCTGTTTCCTCTGTCCTTATCTCTCAGGTTCTCTTCCTCAGACTTCTTCCATTCAGCAGGTGAACTCCTCCTTCCATCCGCACCAGCAGAATCCTGTGTGACGCCGCAGCTAAAGCCTCATTTCACTTGCACCAGTGCGTTTGGCTGTGAGGAAAAACCCAGATGAGTTTTACATGACAGCCTGATGTGTAAGGACAGGATGGCAACGCACTTTGTAAATGAAAACTGCCGCTCAAAAATGTGAAGTGGAGTTGAACCTAGACCAGAGTGAGATAGTCCACGAGCACTTTTAGAACAATACATGTTGATATGAACTCAAACAATCTGCTCCTGTGCATCGGCTCCTATCGTACAGTATTTGGAGCAGACTAAGTGTACATTTCGGGAAACTCAGCGGTACCTTCATAGATAGTTTGTGATTGAGTCCTTTGGCATGTCCCCCCGTGCCAATATAATATCTTTGCATTACAATATTTACTGTCATAACCCTTTAATGTTCACTTCTTGAAAAAAGCAACGTTATTTTTTTCTGTTTCGGATTTTTTTAAGAGCACCAATAACACAAAGTTTTTTATTTTTTATTTTACCCCTATATGTATTTATTTTAAACCTTTTAACTACATACAAAGGGCACTTGCTTTTTATGGCTTTCCACACTCAAAACAGAATCCTAACTACAAATAAGTATTTTGCACCAGTAATGTCCAAGGCACAACTCCTGCTGCTACTGCAAACGATGCAAGCTTCATACTACATGTCGAGTTGGGACTTCAATTACATTTTTTAAGCAATGAGTGAATTTGAAATCAAAGTCATGTAGATAAAAAAGAGTGGATCAAAGACATATACTGTACAGCTACGCAACGTCAACGCACTGCTGATAGTAATCTCAGACCATCAAGACAAGAGTAAAGCTTTCCTACAGTAGATATGGGACTGGATTAATAGCTCATAGTCTCATAGCGAAATCCTACTCTCCACAATGTGTAGCACGTACCTTTCACCTTAAACCACTTGCAGAGAGACAAGTTTGGAGAGGAAATCCAGTCTTAATAGAAACATCTTGGCCAAAGCTTCTGTCTGTCCTCACACCAACAAAACCTCTGCTTTTCAAAGATCGCAGTGCAATGAAAAGGCCATCTGCTCTCACCCACAGCCTACCACAGCACCAAATATTCACCAATGAAATATGTTCAATACAATGCCATCCTTTCAGTCTGATGTATGCACAATTAACAAGGGTTGGAAAGGGTCAGGTCGAGCAACAGAGCAGGGACATGAGGGGCAAAGCAAGAAGGGCAGAGGTTATGGCAACCAGATAACAGATAACATTGAAAAGAAGGTATTGTAAGGTAAAATAAAATCACTATGAGATGGCGCAGTAAAGGTTTGATAACACAAAGTCCAGCGGCCCAAGATACAGGTACTGTACGTGAAACCTATGGATAAACTTTTTGAGACCTAAGAAGGCATTATATTTCATAATAATAATAATACAAAATACACAAAAAGTGCACCATCCAGGCATTTTCAGGCAGCAAGTCCCTATCATGTTCCTTCTAACTCATCTGGGACAAAACCTTGTGTTCCCAGGCCAGATGAGACATAGTCCCTCCAGCATCTCCCCCTGGAGTCTTGTATATAAAGTGAAGACATATATTTTCTCATCTTTAAGTAATGCACATTTGCAAAGACTGTGTGGACGTATTGCAAAACAATATGTTGATAGTAGACCAAGCTGTGAGAAATACAATGAAGACAAGTCCTTATTACTGAGACATATGTATGGATGAAGTGAGCAGATTTAACCGCCGTGGCTGAGTCGCTCTGTAATGAATATACGTGGAATGTATCCAACAGTTTTAATGATTTAATTATAAGACTAAAGGAAAGGATAACATTAAGGATAACCGCCAACTGGGGTATAATGTTTGTGTAAGGAAATAACAGCTCCACATTCAAACTCCCATCAGTCACAACAGATGGATAATTGTACTGAGATAGGGCTAATTTTGTGCGGTAATTGTTCAGCCAGTAACGCCAACTGAGATTTTTCATGCTTTTTTACACCCACAATTACAACACTTAACTCAAGTGATTAAAAACCATTGTGAACAGTCCAAAAGAAACTGCCAAGAACGAAGCAGCTGGTTCATAGACGCCATGTACCAAACAAGAATGAGAACTTAAGGATAGATTTTCTGAGCTCCATAAAAGTTGGGTTATGGTTCAACCAGTTACTACAAGTATAATAATGAATACATTAAATTTAAATAAACTCGTCAATGCTGAGAAAACATGTACATATTTATTTGATGTTACGACCTCTACAGACTGACAACTGTTTGAGTACGACTTTATTTTTGTGCTCTATAATTAAAGCAGAAACCTTCACCCTTTGTTCTCAGAGTTCGCAGCTGTCATCGCTCCTGTTATGCCCTCAAACCAGATATTTCATTAGTCTTGCACTTTATTATCTTTACAGTGACTAAGTAATTTGCCCAAGAGCTGTGCGCCGTTCACATTCTTCATTTATATTTACAAGCTACATGCTTTTATAAACAAGACAAAAAATAAACCGTGGAGAAGTAAACTAAGGCTGACTTAAACGATACTGGCAGCACGCAGAAGGGAAAGCTTCCATCAAAAGTTGTTGTGACCTAAAATGGGAATAGAAATAAATTTATAATTGTATGTACTTGTACTTGGGCTGCAAGGTGAATTGCAATCTCATCGCAATAAATAAAGTTTAACAAAAATACCCAGAATTTACAGCTGAAACTTTAAAAAATAGAATATTGTCGAAAGGTCATTTACTTCTATAATTTGATTAAAATGTGGAACTAACTTATCAATTCAATTACATTCAATGTTTTTGTATTACTCAATATCATAAGAGCAGTTGTCTCAGAGGACTCCTATGGAGCCATTGATCCATAGGAAGTGAGATGACCAATGCCCATACATGGTAAAAAAAAAAAAAAAAAAGTGTCCCAATTCAATACAGACATACAGTATTACATGCAGAGTGGAAACCTTTATTTGTTATCATTTCAATTATTACGTAAATGTTTTGTTACATTTTTTTTTCAGCTGTGATCCAATTCTCAACATCATAACAAATAAAGGCTTGATAAATCTCACTTTGCTCGTAATGAGTCTGCCATAGATTACTTTGACATTTTAAGTTGAATTACAGAAGTATACGGACATTTGAATGATATTCTGATTTTTCACCTGTATGTAGAGGTATGTTTTCACCTGTATTATGAAGAGTATGTGACTCTGGTCTGTGAAAGGCGGTATATAAATAAAGATTACTTACTTACTTACTTACTTATTATTTAATATTGATCAATACAAAAATATCTCTTGCATATTCTGAAAAGTCAAGCATTTCAGTTTCAATTTTTCCACTGCATATCAGTCTAATCCATTTCCCCAAAAGGTTGTTTTT